TGGTCAAGGCTGAGGCTGGCTTGCCTTTTGTCAAGGCTTTCATGGGCTTCTTCATGGCTTTTGCCTTGCTACCTGCCATTACTACAATTTGAACCAGAACAAATGGCTGCATAAACTCAGATACAAACCTTATCATAAGGATTTGGAATGAATTATGGATGCAAACCTTTTGAATGTTGTTTACTAAAACCTTGTCAAAAGGTTTTGGACAGTTGGATTGGATAACTGTGCGCACAAACCTGTGTTTTTTCTATTTCTAGTTTTCTTATTTCCTATTTAATACTGTTTTAATACTGTTTTTCTATTTCTAGATTATTTATACACAATAATTTAAAAAAATATAGAAACATAAAATTTGATCAAATCTGATCAAATGTGATCAAATCTGATCAAATGTGATCAAAACAAGGTTTTTGATCAAAGTTGATCACATTTGATCAGATTTGATCACATTTGATCAGGTTTGATCAAATTTTATGTTTCTATATTTTTTACAATTATTGTGTATAAATAATCTTAGACACAATATCAGACTTTGACCAAAGGCTTTTGGAGCCTTTTGTCCCTTGTGAGATATATGGTCCCTTGTGCCAAGAAACATCTATAGATTGATCTGTCTATCTATTTGTGGTTTGTTGGCTCATGTATTTGTTCTCTTTTGTCAAGAGATAAAATTAAAATGGCCAGTGACATTTCTCAAAGAGAGTTAACTCATACATTCATTGGACTCTTTTTGCCAAGAGAGTTAATGACTGGTTTCTCAATAATTCTTAAACATATGTATGATCGATCTCTTTTGTCAAGAGATTTATGTTTCAATTATCTCTTTTGTCAAGAGACTTGTCTTTCAATCATCTCTTTTGTCAAGAGATTTAATCAAAAAATAAATAACAAGGGTTGAACAATACCCTGAATACTAATACCTTGAATTAATAAATAATATACTAATATTGAATGATATACTAATATTGATTAGGTGGTCTCTTTTGTCAAGAGATATTCATTATATCTAAAACATATCAAATTCAATACATATATGTATATAAATATATTTAATTCATTCATTTATTATTTCAATTCTTTTTCACTCTTTTACCACCAATTCTCCACCCTTAGGCAAAAAGAGAATGGTGCTGTACACAGGCATGCAACCTTTGACCTTTTGTCAAGGCCAAAGGATGTAGGGTGAAACAAAAAGCTGGCAAGGTGAAACAAAAAGCTGGTTGCTTTGACCTTTGGTCAAGGTCAAAGGCTAGCTGGTGGGCTGCTGTATGACCTTTTGTCAAGGTCATAAAGGGGCTGCTTTTGTCAAGCAACCCCAGGAGGTCTGCAATGACCTTTGGTCAAGGCCAGGCAGCATTGGCATGTCAACTCATTTTTTGTCAAAATGAGTTGCACTACCTTTGGTCAAGGTAGTGGGGTGGCACTCAAGGCTCAGCATGGTGACCCAGGAAGGCCTCCACAGCATCAGCCAGGCAGTTGTAATGCTTCTGGCCTGAGTGCCACCCAATTCTGTAGACTTCCATGCCAAGTGCCTCACATTCATTGCAAACCTCCTCATTATCATCAAAGATATAGCGCACCCCCCACTTCTGCATCAATTGAGCCTTCCCATACCAGCCAGATTTCTGGCTGGTAAAGCTCAAGTGAGCTATGAGGGTGCGCCTATACCTTGCCAAGGTCCCAATGGTGGCTTGATTTCTCTTGTGGCCACCAAATGAGATGACCCACACCTTCACCCCTGCTCTCTGCAGGGTGTGAAGGGTGTCCTCATCCACCCAGTCATCGACCTCCAAGGTGTTGTGGAAGTCGATGGCCACCATCTCAGGCAGCAGTGGCTTGAAGGCCCAGTGGATCTGGCCCAACTTTGCCACCTTGGCTTCACCCCTTTTGTCAAGAGGTGCAGCCTCACTGCCAGAGCCAGCAGGGTCAGAGCTCTGTGAGCCCCCCCAGTCAGGGCTGGAGGGGCTTGGCTCCCAAAGAGAGGCACCCTTCTGGGTCCAGCCTCTCACCTTGCCATCCTTCTTGGCCTGTGCTTCACTTGGGCCAAGGGTCTTTGCCTCACTTTTGTCAAGTGAGGCATCTGGCTTCACCTCACTTTTGTCAAGTGAGGAGGGCTCTGCTGGGGCCTCTTGCTTCACCTCACTTTTGTCAAGTGTGGTGCTCTTGGATTCATCTGCTTGTGACACTTCCCTTTGGTCAAGAGAAGTGTCACTGCCATCACCTTTTCCCTTCTTTTCCTTTCCCTTCTTAGGGCCTTTCTTCCCTTGGCCCTTTCCCTTCCCTTTGCCCTTTCCCTTTGGGATCTCACCTTCATGATCCCCTTTGCCCTTCTTCTTTGGGCCTCCATCTTCATCTGCTTGGGAAGGGCTCTTTCCACAACCCTTTCTTTTGTTCTCCCTTTTGTCAAGAGAGACTGCTCCTTTTCCTTCTTTTTTCACCTCCTCCTTTTTCACCTGAGGCTCCTTGGGCTTCATCATCTCTGCCACCTCTTCTGGTGACAGCTTCCTAGCCTTGGTGTTTCTTCCCTTTTCCATCTCCCAGTCCACCTCCTTGGAGAGCTTGTCTTCTTCTCCCATGTTCTTGTTTTCTCTCTCCATGCCTTTCTTTTTAAAGGCCTCTCTCCTTACATTTGACACTGTCCCAGTGCCAGTTGCCCTGCCCTCGTTGTTCCTCAAAGGAAACATCCTTTGGTCAAGGATGTTCCCTTGGCTGGGCCCTTGAAAAAACACACACTTCCTTTTGTCAAGGAAGTGGCAACTCGATACTACTTCTTGAGCCAAACTGCCAAACATTCACATTACCTCCTAAACCCTGTGCCTGGTGGGCCTAAAGCCCTGGAGAGAACCCTCAACCCTGGACCTGGTGGACCTTAAAGAACCCTATAGATAACCCTAGAGGGTAACAGCAACAACCATAACAACCAGCAACCACCAGCAACCACCACCACCACTACTATATAGTACTATATACTATACTCTTTCTCTACTGCTACTACAACCACCACTACTCCTACTACCCCACTACTACACTAACCTTTCTCCACCAGCCCCCATCTTGAAGCAGCTTTTTTTTCATGGGGGCATAGCTCTGTTGTAGCTCTCCTTTGGTCAAGGAGAGCTGTTTCCAAAAAGTTGCTGCAGCTGCCCTTTTGTCAAGAGAGCTGCCACCTTAAAAAACAGCACACCCCTTTGGTCAAGAGGTATTGCTGATCTGTACATATAGCTGCTTGCTTCCCCTTTGGTCAAGGGAAATTGTTGCTGCTTGAGTGCTCTGTGGTCAAGGGTATGAAGGATTCTTTTGTCAAGAATCCTACCAAGTGTTGTACAAATGGGCCCTCAAATCCACAGCTTCTGCTTTGGTAAGGTGCTGTGTGATGAGCCTTCTCTTGATTTCAGCCATGATGTCCAGGTACTGCCTGTGGCCAACCTTAGTGGTCTCCACAATCAAAGGCAATTTGCCTTTGCCACCTGGTGCAGTGGTGCCACAAATGTAAGTCCTCCAGGGTGGTTTTCTTGGAGTGGTCACCCTCAACTTTGTCCATGGCTTCCTTGTGCTTGGTGCATGATCTGCAGGTGCCTTCTGTGTTTTCTTCTTTTTGGCCTTGCCTTTTTTTGCCTTTGGAGAACCTTTTGTCAAGGAACTCCCTGTGCTTGGTTTCTTTTCCTTCTTTTTGCTGGCAGGCCTCTTGGCAATGCCTAGATCTTTTTTCAAATCCATTGGCTCATGGTTTTTTGCAGCTTTTGCTGCAAGTTGCCCTGGCCTTTTTTTCAAGAAGGAAGGGATTCCACCCCCTTTGGTCAAGGGGCCTTCCTCCCTCTCTTCCTCATTGCTTTCACCCCCTTTGGACAAGGGGAGGCATTGGCTGTCATTGGATTTCTCTGGTTCAGGGGTGGCAAAGCACCTAGGAAAACCTGAGCTGTCTAAGCTTACATCACTAATCTCCTTCTTCAACTTTTTTTGCTCAGGCTCAGGTTCTTCAGCCCTTTGGACAAGGGCTGGCTGTTCCTTCTTTGCAATCATATTTACAACCTCTTGCAGTTGCTGCAGGTCACCACCTGTCAATCTTGCAGCACATGATTGCAAAGAGGAGTTTGCCAACCTTCTCATGTGGTACTGCAAGACTCCAAGTCTTTCCACTTTCAACCCAACCCACACTGCTCCTGAAAATTGTGTATTGTTCAGGGCTGGGTGCTCCAACAAAACTTGGAAGAGTGCCTTTCTTAAGCACTGGGTATGGATTTCACATGTAGGCTCCAGCTTCACTAGCCCTTTGGTCAAGGGCAGCAGGTCTATCAAACCCTTTGGGTTGCAGGCTTGGGACCTGGAGATTCTCTCATATGACCCCATGTGTTGCAGCAAACTTCTGTGCTCTGCAAACAAAGATACCAGCAAGCCTTCATCCACTTCAGGCTTTGCAGTATGCCTTGCACCACCTTTGGACATCCCTTTTTGTCAAAGGGATTCCAGCTATACCTCTTTTGTCAAGAGGTATAGGTGAACCACAGGAGGAGCAAATTGAGCCAAAAGATCAAGGTCCAAATCAATATCCAAATCAATATTCAAATCAATATTCAAATCAATAAAAATTTCAATAAAAGTTTGCAAAAAAAATCAATAAGCAAAAACCGATTAAAATATTGAAAAAATCAATTAAAAAATGGAAATCAATATCAATAGAAAACATACCATTTCTATTGACCAGAATCAACATCCGAGCCCTAGGGGCCTATTAAGACCTCAAAAATCAGGTTTGGTCCAAGTACTTCCAGAGCAGGGCCTTTGGAGTGAACCTCTTGTGAGGAAGGGTTTAGGCAGGGAACCCTTTCTGAGCGGGTCGTTTGGAGGACTGGGTATATACAGTATATATATTCTACTGTATATATTGCTTGTATGTACATACGGACGCAGGCGCGCGGGACACGTTTGAAATTGAGTGGGAATTCTTTTGTTGGGTGGCTTGGAGTTGTTGGCCCTTTTCAGCCACATTCACCACTGAGGCTCTGGTGTGCTCCGCTTGGAGAACAGCTTGATGGAGCGGGGTCAAAACGGGACTTGCTGGCATGGGGGGGGGCTCGGCCTCATGAAACGCAGACACTGAAGTCAAGATGCAAGTAAACTACAAGAGAGCCCCTGAACACTTCGGTGAGTTGGATACACCAAGAGCAGTTGTAGTTCCGCCTGCTGTAGACAGAGAAGATGCTATGAGTTTCCAATTTTCAGAGCCCAAGGCTTTGTTGGGGATGAACATCGGGCTCTCCTGCATCTGTACTATTATTTCACCGCCCGCCCAGGCACCAACTGGTCACAATGAAACATACATCACCGGTGTTTCGAGGAGAGTTTGCGTTGGACAGTTCAAGTGATTTATGTTTCCCAATGTTGGTGCAGCATCTTGTTCATCACCAGCATAATCCGAAAAAAAACATCTCCAATCTATTGATCCTATGGCTACAGTGGAGAAGGTCCACAGAGGCAGCAAGAGCTGCCTGAAATTCCCTGTTCTTAGCAGGTTGAAGTATTTGGGCTCCCTTTTTTCACCCTCGAACAATGTTTTTTTCACCCTCCCTTTTTTCCCACCCTCGAAACCTTTCGTTTCCACCCTCAAGATTCCTTTTTTTCCCACCCTTTGGAACCTTTCTTTTCCACCCTCCCCAAACCTTATATTTTCACCCTGCGGCCTGTTATTTTCACCCTGTAGCATGTTTCTTTCACCCTTCACCTTGTTTTTTCACCCTTCACCCTTTCTTTTTCACCCTCGACCCTTTCTTTTCAACCCTCCGCCGGTGAAGCAGGTATCCCATGGAACCTGCACAGAGAACGATGTCACCTCCGGTTTGTTTCACACCGCTTGTCCCTGCACCTGCCAAACCCTTTGTTTTCACTCCAATAGCTTCTTGTTATACTAGCCCTTCGGAACCCTCCGGAAACTGCGTAGAGACTGTCCGGAACGACGGGAACTGCCGGAAACTGACCCGGACGCCTCCGGAACGTGAGGCAGCACAGGATCCATCCATCCGTCCATCCATGCATCCATCAACGGAGTGCCAACCAACCAACCAACCAACCAAGCAACAACGCGGCCAAGCCAACAAACCCACCAAGCAACCAACAAGCCAAGCAACCGAACCACATAACTCCGTGTTTCCCCCAAGTGCTGTAGGTACTAGAAATCCCGTGCGGGGGAGGCTTGGTTGCGGCTTGGTTTGCATTGCAGGGGAGGCGCTGCGCCCTCCCCATTTACACAGCATCCGTCCATCCATGCATCCATCAACGGAGTGCCAACCAGCTGACTAACCAACCAAGTAACAACGCGGCCAAGCCAACAAACCCACCAAGCAACCAACAAACCAAGCAACCAAAACCGCCCATCCCGTAGCGCTGCGCCCTCCCCCGCACCCCCTCCCGCCTTGACTTACACAGCATCCATCCATCCATCCATCCGTCCGTCCGTCCGTCCATCCACCCATCCATCCATCCATCCATCCATCAACCAAGCACACAAACAGAAAAATTGCATATCCATCAAGCACTGTATCACGCAAGCAATCACGGCAAGCAAACCAACACACCAAAAAGTAACATTCTTCCCCCTGTCCATGATCCATCCATCACTGTATGTGTCTTCTCCAAACCCAAGCAACCGACAAGTCAAGCAGGCTGAACCAACCAACACAACAACCAAAGGAAGGAGAGTTAAAAAGAAAGGGTGGGCAGCCCACCAGCAGCAAACAAACCAAGCAACCAACCGTTTCCCCCAAATGCTGTCGATACTTGCTTTGCATTGGTAGCCCACCAAGCAACCAACAAACCAAGCAGCCAAAACGACGCAACCCTGTGTGATCCCACATGCTGTCGATACTTGGTTCGCATTGCGGGGGGGCGCTGTGCCCTCCCCCGCACCCCTCCCGCCTTTATTTACACTCCATCCATTTATGCATCCATCCCCGCCTGCCACTATCTACAGACCATCTATCATCCACCCATCAAACAAGCAAGCAACCAACAAACCAAGCAACCCAAACCACGCAACCCTGTTTTTCCCCAAATGCTGTGGGTACTTGGTTTGCATTGCGGGGAAGGCGCTGCGCCCTCCCCCGCACCCCGTCCCGCCTTTATCTACACAGCATCCATCCATCCATCCATCCGTCCGTCCGTCCATCCATCCATCCATCCATCCACTGTTTCACGCAAGCAATCAACAGCAAGCAAACCAAGCAACCAACCCACCAAAAAGTTTTATTTTTCTCCCTGTCCATGATCCATCCATGTGTTTTCCCAAAATCCAAGCAACCAACAAGCCAAGCAGGCCAAACCAACCAACACTCCAACCAAAGGAAGTGGGATAAAAAAGAAAGGGTAGCAACCAAACTGTGTTTTCCCCAATTGTTGTCGATATTTGCTTTGCATTGGTAGCCCACCGAGCAACCAACAAACCAATCAACCAAAACCACGCAACCCTGTGTTTTCCCCAAAGGCTGTCGATATTTGGCTTGCATTACAACAAGCTAGCCAACCAACCAACACACTAAGCAAAGGAAGGAGGGTGAAAAAGAATGGGTCGAGGGTCAAAAAAGAAAGGGTAGAGGGTGAAAAAAGAAGGTTTGAGGGTGAAAAAAGCAGGTTCAGAGGGTGAAAAAGAAAGGTGGAGGGTGGAAAAAAAAGGGCGGGGTGAAGAAAACAGAGTTCAAGGGTGGAAAAAAAGGTTGCCCGAAGTATTTGGGCAACACTTTGGTTGGTGGTTTCAAATTTTGTGTATTTTTGTTTCACCCGTGCTTGTAAATGCCAAACATTCACAGTGGGTCCACCGCCTCAAGTATTTTTGCACGGTCAAACATGAAGTTCCAAGTAAACTACAGCTCCAGTTTTTGTGTGCATGGGCCAATTGAATCTTATGCAAATGTCACTCACTTTTCCTACATTGCCATCATTATTCAACATCTTCCAACTTCCAATCCCTAAATCCATCTAAATGGTCAAACCCACACTGCTTTGGGAGCTATATGATTGGCTTTCAGAGTAGGTGCTCCTTTGGGGCTCTTGCGTTTGTATTTCTAGATCCCTTTCTCAAGTGCTTGACTCTACTCTGAACCGGTTACACCCATGAACCCATTTGTGAGGAGCTGCTTTATTCAGTTTAAAAGTCATGCCTTTGCCTCCTCAATCCACTAAATGTCTTTTTGCACTTGCCAATCAATCTCTTATAATTTTTTCCTTTTGGACTGTTGGTTTACAATGATTCAATGGCTTTGCACAGAGTCTACTTGGCAGGTCAACCGCCGGTGAGCAAGGCGCCCCGGATAACGTAGTGCCTCGCCTGTTCGCCCTTGGTCCACTAATCTATACTTACATAGTCACAACCTATAGTCTACTGTCTACTCAGAGTCTACTCATTCAATCAGAGTAATTCCAAAGAACCCTGTCCACTGAAAATTACTTCAGGTTTCCATCAATTCATCCCGGATCCGGAAGCTTTGTGGGTCGGAGGAGTGTTTGGAGGTTCTGCCGGTCAGAGTGGCCCAAACACAAGCCGGATTTCCTGCCCAAACCTAGGAGCGGTGCTACCACACCCCCATGCATCGCATGCTGCGGACTGCTGCGTTGCGTTTTCTGGGCCAGGAGCTTGCGGAGGAGTCCGACGGTCTGCTTTTGCTCCCAGAGTGGGGATGGCTCAGAGGGTGGGTGGAGGCTGGTCTTTCACGACTTGAAAGATGAGGTTGGCTGGTTGGTGAATCGGTTTCGAGTCACAGGAGTCTGTGACATGTTCTTCACCACCTACCCCGGACCCAATTGGGATCTTTTGGGTGTCCTGGCTGGGCTAGCCTACACTTGGCCGGGATCTCCAGACAGGACACCCAGGTCTGGGAAGGTCCAGGTACCCAACTCTTCTCTCCGCACCGCTCTACGAAGATGGCTGCCAAGTTGCTCCCCCACGTACTCTCGATGGACTCCACCCGTTCACACCGAACTCGATGGCTCTTTCAAGCCCAAAGCGGGCGGTGCTGCGGATCGGTGTTCGATGGTTTTCTTCGATCCACGACTCGGAACGGACACACGACTCGGACGGTGGAGCAGGCGACAGGGTGACTAGTCCGCTTAAAGGTCGATCGACGGGGAAGCGAAAACCATATGCGAAAGTCCGGTTCCGGTTCCCTGTCTTCTATATATGCATGTGTTCTTTTTGTTGGGAGACCCGCTGGCCCCGGCTGCGGCTGGGTATAGACTCTATGTCCCTAATATTTCTTCCTTCTTTGCAGTGAAATCCGGGTCTTTTTTAAACACAGACCCAGATTTCAACCCTGTTCAAGACCCCGTGTGAAGAGGTTTTACAATCCGAAGCGGGGGTTATGTATATCATCGTGTTGTTCTCGCTTTGGCATTCACCGTTAAACATCGTGGGCTGACTTGAGGTGTTGTGTTCTTTTTCTTCCACACCATGAGCTGGCCAGAACAGATGATTGTCGTGTTTATGCCAGTGGTTCACGTGCGGAACCGTGCTTCTGGGTGGGTGACCCGAAGACGCCACCGGGGCGCCGGTGGTCCGTGTACCTCGAAGGTTCCTGCTGCCCCTGTGGTCAGTGAATTTTACTTTCCCATGTACATACTTAGCTAGATGGTTGTCAATGACAACTTGACAGCTAGGTTGTTTCCAGTACATTCGTTCGAGTAGCCGGGAAAGCAACCAGTGCACTCTGTGAATCACCAGTCACCCCAGCGGTCTCTGCAAAAGGTAGCCGGCCTTCTAAGTAGGCCGGGTTCGTCAGTGACTTCGACCTTCTCACGGTTGGAGAACAACATCTACACGGTCCATCGACTTATACAGCCATCCATCTTGTGTAATCGGTCCGTCTCCATTCATTGTCTCTTGCTGAACTGAGACCCGGTCGACCGGTCGAAGGTTGAGGCTCTTCGACCTCTCCAAATCTCTGCAGAGGGTTCTGCCCCAGGATCCCGTGGGTCGGGGCGAAGAGTCGCAGGTGGTTTTGGGCGGCGGTTTCGGGTGGCGAGAAGCACTGTTGGTCATGTGAGTTCTAGGATTTTAGATATCAAGTAGATATCAAGTAGATCAAGTAGTAGACTAGTAGACTCAATGCTTATGTCTTTTTGCACCAGTGTTGCAGTATCTGGGTTCGACCAGGTTCAACCATGTTTTTTTTGCATCCAGAGTCGGTTTCTCCGGTAAGATGGTGGACACGAATCTTCCAAATGGGGATAAACAAAGTTTTAGTTTCAAATGGGATCGCTGCCCTTCCACCATGCGTAGACCAATAGGCATGTTACAAAGTTGCTTTTAATATCATTACATCAATCAACATATAGTTTCATTGGGCACTCTGGTTTGGAAAAGCCGTGTGATGCCGTGTTTGTTTTTTAATCTCTACGTCGTAAGGGAGCCCTCGGCACACATTCAAAAACCTGACTTTGAAAGAGGAGGATCACATGTCAGATTGCAGAATTCCATTGCTGGGCATGGCTTAAGGTATGACATTACAGACATCGTGTGTGGTGACTTGGTGGTTGCATGGCTGCCAAGCGCGTGCCACCACATGGGCTTTGGCCAGGAGTTCCACCATGCAAAGAGGCACACATGGGGGATGGAGTGGCTGACGGGAAACGGGGTGGGATGCACAGTGAAGGAAAAAGGTACAGAGATGACACTAATTTTGGGATTCTTGATGGTTCTTGCCAAAACCAAAGCACACACACAATATCTCTGCAGTTTTAAACAAAGTACTTGAGTTGCTTGCAAGATGATAGGATTCTGCAGTGATGTTGTGCAACTCTTAGACCTGGCTGCCCTAAAGCAGCCTCTTCGACCGGGAGGCTTTCGGACCCAAAACGAAGCTGGGCCTTCCGCTTTCGGAATTCGGCCGTCTGATCGATGAAGCCATCGGTCCCTTCCAACGTGGGCCGACCCTCCAAATGGCATCGCTTCAAACGGAATCGCTCGGCTCCCCCGTCCCCACCCCACGGGTCCCCGTCCCGTCTCTCGCGCGTTCTGCCCGGAACGGGCTGGGCTGGTCCAGGTTCATCGAGCAGCGCATCGTCACGCCGAAAGACCTTCCACTGAAGTTGGGATGGGATGGGCCCCTCGGCCGGGATGGCTCCCTCGCTGTGTCGAAGCGGTGCGGCTGGTTTCCGCGTTTTCGGATCCAAACGAAGGGCCTGGATCGAAAAGGATGTTCTGCGTTGGAATTGGGATGGTTTGGGGGTTGAACGGGTGGAAGCGGGGTGAAATATGGCGGATTTCCAGGGGTGAGTTGAGAGATTTGCAACAAGAGGGTGATGAATCTGGTGATATCAATATAGCGCATTCTTTTGGGGCTCAGTGAAGAAGATAAAGATAAAGCAAGAACATACTAAACACACAAAATAAGAACACCCCCCCTACCTGGTGGTTGGCAAGCCAATCATCCGTTGGCAAAGACGTTCATGGCTCAACCATGGGACACTTGTGGTTTGGGCCTTTAAAGCCTTATGAGTTCACATGACAACAAGCATTTTACTCCAATGGCACCAGTGACCAGCTGTTAGGTGCGAATGCCTCGCACATCGGCGTAGGAACAGTGGTTTGTCCAGCCGTGCTTGAACCATGCGCACATTCGTTTGTGTCCCAACATGTGGAAATTGGGGGATTCAGCAACATACCTGTGTCATATCATGGCCCGTGTGGAGAGGCATTCTCACTGTGACATGCCAAAACTTAGAATGACGGATGCAAATATTATGCATTGGTGCAGGCTTTGTTCGCCACCCCCCGATTCTCAGAGCGGCATTTTAAGTTTCAGTCCATCGCTATATTATATATATACATAATTATATAGAGTCATTGTCATGTGATGTCATGTTCGAAATTATATATAGAAACAATTGGCGCATAAGATCATTCGATGTTCCATGTTAATGTTTGTTGAGAGAAGCAACCGGACTTTGTGGGTAACTGCTATGCTCTATTGGCATCTATTGGGTATGGAATCTGGGTTGATGAATGCGGGAGAGAGCCAAGCTTGTCAGATCTCGAGAGCGCCAGCAGTTCTGAGGGTGCAAATCAACAGCCGGGAGCACCAACGTGTGGGACCTTGCGGACCTTGCAGCGAAGGTTTGAGCCATTGAAGGAAGTCCAACTTGCCGATGTCCTGTTTGTACTGCTTGAAAATAGCAGGATTAAGTATCAGTGTAATAAGAGAGGAGGCTTCGGCTTTTGCTTGGAGTCTTTATAGATTAGGCGCTAGCCGGACTCCACCTCGGGGTGACATTTCCAATCAATGCTTTGCTGTCAAAAACAACCGGAAAGGATCAGAAAAATTAGCACATTCTGAGGAGGTACTGGTATGTGCAGTTTGCGGGGTCTAACATGGTCAAGTCCTACCTTCTGAGCATGTGATTGGAGCCGTATAGATCCTTTTCAGATTCTTGGATTTAACGGATTTCACAATCTCAAGAGAACCCTCGAAAGATCCTTTTCACTGCCTTGATACAACCACAACGGTGGTGTTCATAGGCCCTGAACGCAAGTGACAGTGGCTTTCCAACAAGAGGTGTTATGGCATGGTGATGTTCGATGTTGATTTGTGGTTGTGTTGAGGTATTAGGTGCTTCGGATGAGAATTCGGGATAAATGCCTAATTACTTTATAGAAGACTCCAGAAGCATCAGCTCCACTCCTTGTACAATGCGACTGGATGGAAGGAAGTGAATGGCATTGCCCAGGTAAACGCGACTGATGACCATGGCGACGCATTGCTCCTTATAGAAACGTCGTTCGATACACCCACGCCCACACATCCACGACAGCTGTGAGGTCGCCATGGCGACACTTTCTTGGAGCCCAGCCGCTTGGGAAAGAGGCGGCAGACAAGGAACCACGCAGGTGCATGGCTCAGGTGCTTCCCCAGTGGCATTGGCAAACCTTGGATGAGGATTACCTGGCTTTGCGGGGCTTTTGGCTACGAGAACACGGGGCTTTTGGCTACGAACACACGAGCGAGAGACCACCGTTTACACGGGTTCAGAAAACGAAGGAGACGGGTTGCTCACCGTCGCTACCCGCATCTGTGATTGCAAAAGTCACTTCAGATGTTCAGCTTTGACTTGACAAAGCTGCAGAAAGGCTCGAGAAACATCCCGCTGTCATGGACGACAGGTGGTGCCCTTAATGATTCTCCAGGTGGCCACAAGAAACTCTCCCTTTTGGAACGGAAGCCTGGGGACCTTGCCTAAGAAATCTCATTGCAGCCCGATCTCATTGACTGAACTTCAATTACTAGACTAGACTCAGAGAGCGTATTCTTTTGAGCCATCAAAAGAACAACCAGTTGAAACCCTGTGAGTTTCCTGTGTGGACATGAACACGCGTGGACTGTCCTTTTGGTTCCCGTTTCAAAAGAACAGTAAACTAAGTGAACACATGAACACCGTTTGACATGTTTTTGGTTTGGGGGGCAAAGAACACACCCAAAGTGAACTGCTCGTTTGGGGTTGGCGCCTCGGTCACCAGGCGCCTCGGTCTATTTTTTGGTGCTCGAGAGCACCTCCCGGGCGGCCTTCGAGGCGGTGCTCGTGCGACGGACACGACGGACGGCGATGTCTTCGGGATGTTTTGATGTCTGTGGGTCTTGATGTCTTGGTCTCAGATAGGTGTGGGGTCTGACACTGTTGTTTTTGTTCAGTGCAACCGTCTTCTGTCAGAAAAACCATTCTCAGAAAAGCCGAGCATGGGCCTTTCTGCAACAGATTGGCTCGCGAGTCGCAGAGGCACTTTGTCCAAGAACCATGGCCTTTCTCCGTCGGCAACACGCGAAGCCTCGGCCTGTGCGCCGGTCACCGGCGAAGACGGCAGGATGGTTGGCGGACCACGGGGTGGGGATCGGCGTATCCACACTGTGGTTGTAGGGAAAAGCCGCCAGTCATGAAGTTGGGCCAGCTAAGACCGTTATAGTATAGTCATTGAAAGAATGTTAGAAGCTGCTAGTGGAAGCCGTACTTTCCAAAGCTTGGAACAATCTTTGAAGCACGTCTTCTTTGAAGCTTACCCAGTGGATCCCAGCCAACATAGTGGATCCCAGGCAGCCACTATATAATTAACGAACATCAAGGAACCAAGGTTTCGTTCTCTTAGTCGAAACGAAACGAAACCTGGACTCCCAGCGACATCGTGGCTGCCTGGTGGATCCCACTGGGCTATGAAAGCACATTGGCTCTAGCTATTAGACCCTTCAGGAGACCGAAGTCCGGCACGACGAGCGACAGCGTCGTGTGTCCGACCGGGCCAAGGGGTCAAACACGACCGGAGGTACACTTCGCTCCTAAGGGTGTACAAGAAGGGCGGACCTTTCGAGCGCCTTTGCTTGTGATTTCAGCGAGGATGTGGGATTTGGCCGACGGATGGCCTTGTGCCGAGGGAGAAAACGATTCCGCCAGACGTTGTGGATCGAGTTGTGGAACTTCTGGAATAAGCTGTTGACCTGGATTTTGCAGGATTTTGCTACATCAGGGATGAGATCTTTGTGGGAATCCAGACACCTCGATATTGGAGAGAGATTTATCATGATTTAACATCGTCCAGGTCCACTTTGCAAAGTCTCAGAAGACATGATTCAGAGCTTCAGTATCATTGTCATTCTCATGTATATGATCGACTATAGACGACTATAGATCACTAAGGAGTCAACACCGTTGGAGTAGTGAAGACTTGCAGTAAATAGGTTAAATGGGTGTTTGGATAAGCTATCAAAGGAATCAAGCTTGGAGACACGAACATCTTCTGGCACTGGGCTAAAACTGCCCCCCCGAGACAGCTGGACAGCTTCCAGTCTCCGAATTGCTTCTTTCATGTTTCCAGAGTCACCCAGCTAAAATGGCCCCAACAGCATGGCTGGCATGAAGCTTCCAAGAAGCTTCACGTCCTTGCCATAGAGTGCTTGTCCTTGTTCGACATCAAGACGCCACATCGGGGTGTTTTTTTGTCACGATGGTTTCAATATGGTTTTCTGAGGTGGCTATCGACTGGGCATGGACTTATTTCTTGTTTTCCATTGCTTTTCGATGATTTCAGAGATGTTTCATGATGTTTCTATACATTGAATTCGGACTTGATTTCCATCTTTGGTCCATTTCCCTTTGTTTTTCTTGCAAAAACCACAAATCTCTCAGAACTTCTCAGGTCGCAGATCTAACGCTCCTGCACTCCCTTTTCTCCGGCACGGTTCGAGGGCCCAAAACGCCCGCCTCGCGGGGTCTCGGAGAGCCCAAAGAGATGGGTTTCGTGGGTCCCAAACCGGTCGGGGAGTTGCGAAGCACAGCCATCGAACAACTGGAACAGAGCACGACACGTTGAAAGACCGGTGAGTATCTGGCGCCTGGCGCCTTTTCCTACACTGAATCAACCTGGTAGCCATGGTAGCCATGATGTTGATGTTATTTTTTTGGGACGTCGATGTCATTCAACGCATCCCAGGGGCCCGGCCTAGGGGATGTGGAAGGTTGATAGATGTTGATAGCAATCAACAGGTGGATCCGGAACTCTCAATTTTCCAGGAAAGCTTTTCTCAAAGGACCGGTCTCCCGACCTCCCCGGTGGTCGTTCGCTCCAGGTTTGGACCCATGCCGAACCTCCGGGTTTGCAGCTTTCCCTGGCAAACCAAAACAATCGATTGTCTTGGTGCTACCGTAGCTACCATTTGCTACTCTTTGGCCTTCAACACGTAGCACTTCACACACACCCCAAACCCTGTACTTCAACACCGTGAGACATGAGACGCAAAGTTCTTTCGACGCACGTCGATCGCCTGATCCTCTCCCAACCGCGGCTCTCCTCTCCGCTGTGAGCTCGCTCGCTCCCGAGGCTGCCAACATGCTGGCCGCCCTCAGTGGTGCCCATGCCCAGAGAGTCGGAGCTGCACCGCACCCGATGGGGAACGATTCTGGGAACTCCCCCGTCTTCTGAAAGCGCTTCGCACGATCACGAGAAGAAGTGACCGGTGGTGGGTCTTCCCATGTTCCGAGACGACTCACCGCAGTGGTTGGAAGGGGTTCCATTGTGGTTCTTGGGGAGTCAAAACGACTCCCAGGTACATCATCCATAGGTTACGTGGAGCTCACCCCCAGGTACATCATCCATGCCAATCACGGTCATCCAACATCGGGGGCACAGCATCCACGCCATCGCAGCACAGACCAAATACACATGATTTTACTATTTCCAACTGAACTCCTTGTCAAGGCTGCCTTGGGCTGTAAACTTCTAGTGACTGTGCTTTGCAATTGAAACCCAAACAGCATCTTTTCTGTGAGTTCTTTCCCTGTTGTTGCCCTTTTCCTCGGAAAGACTTAGACTATAAAGACGACAATGTCATGTTCATGTTTTGCTCCTTTGAACCCGCCCCGTGGCGATATGAACTTTCACGCAAGCTACCTGGTCATTTTGACATCGTGCCGATTTTGCGAACACAACTCCACGACCGACCGACCGGTCGAACGACTCCACGACCGGAGAGACTGAGTGCCCCTGTGCCGACCTGGGCCCCGAGGTTTTAGTTACGATGACCAGAGAGACTCTGATCGACGAGCCGCTCGGGCGCAGTGATGAAGGACATGCTCCATTCAGGATTCCAGGTTTTCGTGCCCAACATGGGGGGAGAGATCCACCTTTATGTCCTGTGTTCTTCTTCGAAGAACTCTTTGACTCGGTGGGTCTCTGTGACTCGGTGGGTCAGAGATTCACCACATGATCGACGTGGAGTTTCGCTATAGAAACTGACCAGTTCTTCCGCCGCCCTTGGGCCTTGGCGGACTTTCGTGACATGGTTCATCTGGAGGATGTTGTTTTTTCTGTGCTGAAGAGCCAGGACCGAGAAATGCTTGGCTTTGAGCTATTAGATCAAGTTCAACTTCGATTCGACACCTGGAATGTCCACCTACTAAGTGCTCTTGTGATCTTTTTGTGTCACCGACCCACACAATGAAGCAGACCACCGACCCCGGTGGAACCGGACAGATCCCGCGAAGCGAAGGGAATCCTCTCCGGCTCGTACCTGGCGCACGAACCACACAGGTTTCCCGGTTTCCCGTTTTCGCGAACGCACATGTTCCACACAGGACGGGTGTCTTCACCCGGTCGACCGAATCTCACGGATGGCACGTCTGCCAGATGGAACGGATGTAGAGTTCTTCGATGAAAGGATTTAGACAAATGACGACAGTATACCAGGAGTCACATGTCGGGGTGGTGTTTAGTCCCATCCAGTGAGTGGATGCTCTGGGCACCCCTAACTAACCGCACCCCTTTGTGACTGCTGGTATACATTTCAAGTGGGAGGTAGTTGTTTGATTCAATATTTTGCATCACTCACCGCACTGCACTTGCAGAGGACTTGTGCACCCTGGGGTCATTTAGTAAACTGTCCACTATTTGCGCCACTCGTGTGGCAATGAGCGAACTGACCGGAGAAACCGGTCGCCCCAGTGGAGAAACCGGTCGCCGCATCCATCGCTGGGCACCTGCGCGGCGCCAAACGAGGCCTCCTGGCAGTGCCAAACGGTGTTGGCCGGAGTGCCCGAGGCGCGTCGGTGTCAACGCGCCTTCGGTGACCGCGAACGCGGCGTGGAACGCCGCGTGGTGACGGACGCGTTCGCCCAGCAGAGGGCTCAAGCTGGAACGTGTGGAGTGCTGGGCGGTCAGCCATTCGAACTAAGGCGATACAGAGGGAATCATGGTCTTCGGTTGACCGATCTGGAGAGATCAGGTCGGACCTATTCTGTTCATCCTCTCGGTGGTGAAGCATCGCAGTCGGTCTCCCGGTTTGGGACGAAACGAACCAAATCAAACATCCTTCACTGAAGATCATGTCGACAGGTGGAGTAGGCTCCAAACCGTTCCAAACCCCTCAGTACCGGGATTGACCAAGAGCGGGTTTCCAGTGCTTCCATGTGCTTCCCAGTGAGTGTTCAGTTCCAGTCACTTGGCATTTTGGAGCGATTTGGATGGCTCACTCACAGTGACACCCAGAGGCGGTTTTGATGATTTTTGATGGCTCTCACTGGAGGGTCACACTGCACCTGTAACAGTGTAACGGGGAGAGACCCCCTGAGCCCATGGGAGTTTTATGGAGTTTTACAGTACACATGTGCTATTTTGCTTTCGCTTCGGTGGTCTTTGCCAGCCTTTTGCTGTAGCCTGATCCGAACACACCACCCGTGCCCGTGCACATGACCCGTTTTTTTTTTGCCAAGCCGGTGGGTCAGCCATCCAGTCTATGACCCCCCCCACCCCCGCCGACATGACCCTGGTCGTCTGGTCGGTGGCCTCAGGAGCGGCTCATCTGGAGAATCGCCCAAAGACATGGCGTGGGAACGAACCCGACCCGGACAGCGGAACGAACGGACCCGCCTGCGGCGCGTCCAGCTTGGCGGACAGCGAGCGGACAGCAGTGCTGGGCACCCATTGATCAATGAAAAAGACCCGGGGTTCCCTTAAGGCGACAAATATTTCCTTTTTAACTGGATCAGATCTTGATCACGTTTTGGCTGAATGGTCCATGACGATTTTGCCAAACCTGGGGGAAAGAATCTGCCAGTATGCTGATGTAATCAGTTGGATCATGCTAGACTTTGGGTTGATCTACTGAGCGAATCATCCACTTGGAGTCTGATCCTCTTGTTGGCAGCTTCACAACTTGAGGCGCTCAAAACTTCACTTGCTGTCTATGTTCGCTTTCTCCTCTACTCAGGTCACATACCTGAAATCATCCTACATCACTTCTAGGTTGGAGGCCATAGCTTCTAGGGTGGAGCCATGTGGAGCCCATTGCCTTTAGGTTGACCGTCACATCCTATATGGCTCGGCATTTCACCGCTTCGTATCAGAGCTCGTGCGGCTCCACGGCTGTGTGCGCTCCGCGCGCCGCGAGAGGCTACCGCACCTTGTTCGGCTCCACGGCGTGCAACGGTGCCTTGGATGGTCCGGGTCGGCAGGAGGGGTCCGAGGGGTCCGGGTCGACCCTGGAGGGTTCTTCTTCGGATCCGTCATATCCTTCTCAGAATCCCTCCAGCTCCAAAGGCCAACGAACTTGAGAGGGGTCATGAGACAATCCATTCCAATCCCATTCTCATCTTTCCGCAAAATCGATTCCCATCGACTCGACTCAACTCGCTTGAGATGGGCCACCGCTCCAAGCGCCGGTGAATAAGCGGCAGGTTGAGCGTTGAGCCGAGCCCTGCTCGACTGAGGTTTGTTGGGGACTCGTTATTGCTTGCATCACTTGAAGCAGTTTGACCGCCCGGGCACTTGATGTTCGCCAACCTGTGAGTCGGCGACTGTCACGGACTGCCAATGGACAGGTTTTTTCTTGGCCCAGCGAGAGAGACAGGAACGTGAACCCCCTTCAATGTCACTCCTGCGTGTCCTTTCTACATAGAATACTGCAAGATGGCTGATGTTGGCCCGCCAAGAGGAAGTAGGGAGATGTGTTGGGAAAGAGGCCCTGGAAGATCTGCAGAAGGATGCCTTTCAAGATGAATCTTACATGCCAGATGAATCTTAGACATCCGATTCAACCAATTCTCCACATGGAACCGGGCTTGGCATGGAACCAGACGATGTTGTTTCCGAGTTTCCTCTACAAACTGGGCATGGAAGACTCAGGTTCCACATGTGTCTCGGGTGTTCAGGCTGTTGAGTCCAAACGCTCTTAGCCTCCAACACGCAGGTCGCCGGTCTCCCGGGTCGGGGTCGAGCGACGGGGGAGGGCATCGAGTGCGGTCAGCTGCGAAGATGGCAGATGTTGGATCCGAGCTCCACAGCTTGGTGTCCCACATTGTGTCAACAAACGATGTTGCTTGACTATATTTTTTATTCAGCTTATATATCCCTGGTATATACAAGGAGATACAAGGTATATATACACCGAACAAGGTAAATACAAGGTATATCCTTCAAGTATTTTCAAGGTAACCTTCTGCTTCAACTAGGGCTAGGGTTTCTTCAAGTTTGTTGGGCGGAGGGCTCACTGCGATCTGGCGCTTGCTGTTGAGGTCCCGCCCACTGCGATCTGGTGCTTGCTGTTGAGGTCCGGTAGTGCTGCGATCATGGTCTTGCAGTTGAGGTCCGGGAGTGCCCACTGCGATCATGCACGTGCAGTTGAGGTAGCGCTCTGGCGCTTGCTGTTGAGGTGCGATAGTCAAGAAGACGCGGAGAGGAGAAGAGGAGGAGAGGAGGAAGGAGAAGAGCTCTGATAGAATCTAACAACCCTCGCTGCAACGTGCATGATGCACCAAAACTAGGAGGTGAAGGAAAAAGGAAGCTTTGGTGACTGCATGCTTGCATTGCATGATGCGCGAAGTGGCACGAAGCTGGCAGGTGTGCAGATGGGTGGCTTGAATATGTTGGACTGGGCTGAACCCGTCCATCCTGGCCTGAGGTGTGGTGCCATCCCTGGAGGTCGACCCAAACTGCTACAGCCAAAATGAATGGCACCAGCTCCTAACTGACAGGATGCTTGGCAAAAGAGGGGCTGCTGGGCCTAGCATGGGTCTCAAGGCTGCCATTCCAGTACACACACCTGTGTAAGCTTTTTCACCAAGCAGTTTACTGTTGGGGATCTGATCTCAATGGCTTTTCAGTGTGTCCGCCTCAGCTTGGGCTAGTGCGTCCGCCTTCTGGCAACTCCTTACTAGCAATTGTTTACAATTACCTCCCATGTTTCATCAGCAACGCCGCCACCAACAACGCCACAGAACTCAGCGTGTTGTTGTGCATTTTCAAACATCAACCAATGTGGCTGGATGCTGTGGCCGCAATCTTGGTTATTGTTTGATCTCTCTGTGCCATCTCTATGCTCGGTTTGTTGAGGAATGGAAACCGTGGTTGTGTCGGAGAGAAGCGGCCACACCAGCATGTGCTGGACTACGCCCTCCGGTTTCAGGAGTGGCCAGTTTGGTGGGGCGAGGAATCCATGAAGTAACTGGCCTCCAATCTTTGCGCAGTGTTTGGACCACGTCGTTGCAAAACAATTGTTGCGCATTGCATAGGGTGAAGATGTTGCAGGCACAAGTGAAACCCACCCTTCGCAACCCCTGCACCAAACTGGCATTGTGGGTGCTTCAACTGTGCCCGGGCAGTTTCAATCCATGTTGTTGATCCGTTACAAAGCTGAAGGGTTTGGATGTGTAAGATCCAAGAACGAACCCAGATGTGACCAAGCAGGTGACCAAGCCCTTCATTAATCCTTTCCACTCGCCCCCAGATCTAAGAAGGCTCGCCTGTCTCCTTCCTGTGACATCGGTTGTGGAAAGAACCTTCACGATACAGGGCCCATGGGATCACTTCGGTCGCCTTGCATCCTTAAAGCTTCTTTCACATTAATTGACTAGATTCTTGGTGACCGAATCATCCACTGTAAGGCACCCATTTCATCGGAACCGTGCAGAAAAACAAGTCGACTGCGGATGACCTCCGACCCCACTTTCCGGTGAGACTGGGGTGAGCTTCGGTGCCAGGGTAAAACAATTTCGGGGTGAGGGTGCCAGTGGCCAGCCTTGGACATTTTTGGACTTACGTAAGCTAAGCCTTGGCCACAGGTTTTGTTTGTGACCATTTACGAATAATAGTCATAGTGCATGTTTGCCAACTTTGGTTCAGCACAGGAAGATTTGCTTGAGATATTGGAGCACCCATGTCTTTGCTCTCCTATTTATCAAGCAAGCCGTGCAGCATTGCCCATAAAAAACTTACGCTTCATGTTGCGAATGACCTCAGAATGCTAGATGTTTGAAGACATGTCACTGGAGCGCTTCAATTGCAAAACCAGACGGGTCAAAACATAGGACTCTAGGATATGCAACAATTCAAGTCACCAATCCCACCCATTGTTTTTCCAAATGGAGACGGTGGTGAGTCTTGTCCACGTGATGGCACTCAGAAAAAGATCAAAATCGTGAAACCTGCAAGTGTTTGTTTTGCAGTTGCTTTCTTCCGGATGCATTTTCTACCCATGGTCTTTGACGTGTGCCATAGGGATTTTGCTTGAACATGGACCCCTCCCTGCCACCCCACCATCGGACAGAAAGGGGGCATGGGTGGGCGGGCGTCTTGGTCGGTCCAAAGTGACGAACATCCGTGGTTCGACGTGATCATCGTGGTGCCGGGATCCCATACGCACACATCATCCCACCCCGTCGACGTTTTTTTGAGGGGTGGGTGGAGTCGTCTCATGACAATCACCGGACATGACAGGAGATCCACGCGGACGTTCCAATCTTCGCCTACTTGCACTTGGAGGCCGTGGGTGACCGAAGGTGGTCACTCAGGTCACTCAGGTCACTTTGTGAGATATCTAGGGCGAGACCGTTCGACCGACCGACACGGGTGGAAAGGGCCACTGGATCCAGTTCGTGAGGCAATTGTTAGGGCAATTGCGGCTAGGAAGTGGATTTCTGCTCAAAGGAATTGTCCACCACAAGTGAGCTGATGGCTGATAGGAGGGTTTCGTGCAAACCTTACGTTCCAGCTCAGAATAGTTGGTGTTTGAGCATTTTGAGCTGATGGCATCTTCAAGGGTGATAGTGATAGACTACAGTGATAGTTTGTCATCAACATGCGCCAGAGGCTAAACATCTCAAGAACCTGGTCCTGCTTATAGGGTGTTTTTTTCCCCACTATGCATCCCTGTGGGTTCTTCATCCCTTTCTTGGGGAATCTGTGTCTTTTCTCCCGGCTTCCAAAACCCACGAATCCCGGGTCCAACACCGCCGGTGGTGTCCACCGGTGGTCGCACCAAGTCAACCTGACGACGTGACCTGATGGATCTTGGATTTTTTCTCCCCCATATGAAGAGGTGGTTCAATCCATGTTTGGAGGTTGGAAATTGATTCATCTAAGATCCTACAGGTCGTTCCACCTCCTGATCTCATGGGACAAATTAAATCGGCCTTCTGGTCCGCGACGCAGGGGTCAAGCGTCGAAGAGCAATCGCACCAAAACCCTTCGCCGAAGCACTTCGGCTGGTCAGACCACCCATGAAAGTCAAGATGCATTGCAGCTGCTGGTTGGGGCTGCCCAGTGGACTCTGAAACGATGGCATATCATGGAATAAACAAGCCGTAAAGAAACGCTTATACCTTCCGTTACCTTCCTGGAACGTCCTAATTCATTCATTGTGTGCGGCATGTCATATCTTTGTGTGACGTCATGAGGAATCCGCAGGTTCTCCGTGCTTCCCAGGAACGAACGGAGTGAACGATAGGTATACTTGCCTGGCTTGTACTTCTATTCACAGGTGGAAAATGTGGTATTTCGCCCCATGGTCGTTGAAGCTTTAAGCTTGCGAATTGTGCATTTTTTCTCCACCACTTCCTACTGTTGACCCCACCGTAGGTATGGTGTCGAGACAAAAATTACATTAAGATACCATACTGCCTATACTATACTATATATATAATACTATATACATTTTTTTTCGAGCTGCTATATATATAGTGGTTTCAGAGTAGATGGCACAAACCCAAATATGTTTTTCATATGGGGTCCATATATACCACCTTTTGGGGATTGTACCATCTACTCTGAAACCACTGTATATATAACTATATATATATATTTATACAATTTTTAATATAGTGTTTTTGTAACACTACCGGTGTCAGACAGGTTCTATCAATATCAACGTTGATGCCATCCAGGAGATAGGAGTCCCACGTTATCCAACACTGCGGTCAGACCCTCCCCATGACTATAGAGACTGAGACTGGCTGGGAGCTGTGTCTGTCAGGCTTGATCCAGTCCGAATTTGGAACCCAGGATTGTTCAAGAAAACAATTACAAGGAATCCAGCAGGGTGTTGCTTTCTGAGGATTGAGGATGAACTCAGAATGCATCACGGCTTTGCACAGGGACAAAGTATAAGTATAAGTTTTGAAAGGTCAAATTGTCTCTATATGTCTCTACTATCTCAATGGCAAGTTGCATGTTTGCTGCTTCATCTATCTATTTTGGATCCAAGGGGCTTTCATTTGAAGGTGCTTGCTCCCAGTAACAGTCGTTCATCTCACCTGCAAGTGCTTCCCATGCACCTGCAGCCCTGCCGCGGACGGGCAGCAACCTGCCGCCGGTCGCCTTGTACTCTGATGCGACCACGTGCCAGTCACCCTAAGGACCAAGCGCTCGTGGAGCACCTTGAAGGGCTTGCCAGGTGCGGCCGGCTTTTGCATAGCAAGATGGAGCGTACGGGCCCGGGGTCTACGGCGACCTACAATCTGATCAAGTTAGGGATTGAGGATTGTAATGTTTATTGCGAGTGTGACCTATGAGTACTAGAATCTGTAGGGACCCACACACCTTCCCAGGTGTTGGGTGGTGGTGGGTGTGCTCTTAGATCGACAGGGAATAGTACAAAGCTGGCTGGTTCCACAACCAGTTCTATGTTGTCGGGGGGCCAGCCATAGGCCAGCGCTTCGATTCCAGCGTGCCAGGCTTCCGCTGGAGGCGCAGCCTGTGGTGGCAGCAACCCCAGCCAGCTTGCCATGGAGGGCGGACGCTTCTCTCTGCAGTGGTTGGTTGGTTGGTGCGGTTGGTCGGCCGGTTTTGGGGTGGGCGGCTTTGGACCGTCCGCGGTCCGCAGCGTTGGTCCGAAGGGTTGGGAAGGTTCTCGCCGTTGGTCGGACGCAACAGGGCTCGCCCGCACCGGTGTCGCCCGAGAGTTCAGGTCGCACACTCCAAAGTACCGAATTGGGTCAGCATTCTTTTCTGTATTTTTTCGACTTAGAACTTAGAACACCTCCTTTTTCAGTGGAGAGGGCAAAGATTGATTTTAGGCCTGGTTTGTGAGCCTGTGGTTGCAGGGGTTTGACTATGATGGTTCACTGAGAATGTCACCCATCCATTTCCTGAAAGACACCATGTCCATTTGTTGAAGACATTGAACAACCGTAGGAGATGGACCCCAAAGAATGGACGAAGCATGGGTCGCTTCCGAGCGTTTTCCCAAGGTCTTGGCGGGTGATCATGGCCCCGCCACCCAATGTGACGAGTCGGGGCGTCCAGTGTGCGATGCCATCGGGTGCGTGGTCGTTTGTTCTGCTCTCGGGAGATGGGAAGATGTTGGGTCAAACAGACCATGGAGAGTGGGGTTGCCTGCAACGGATGGAGAGCAATTCAGAATGATTCAATGGTTTCAATCATGGTAAGTGTGTTCTAGCACTTCCTACCTTACTGACCCTCTTCCACATGGTAACATGGTGAGCTGGACAAAGCTGCTGGGAATCCTGGTGGATGTGAGAGTGGCATTCCACATGATCGATCCATATCACTTTTCCAGCTGGGCGACCTATCACAGCTACCCTGAAGAACCCTTGTCTCTTTTTGTCGGGTTTGCAGCATGTAAACATTGTGTTTCGCTTCTTCCATGCTCCAAACTCAGGGTTTCACCCGGGTTTCCCAGCAAAACCGGGTCAGCTGCCGTCCAACGATGACATGAGCGAAGTTGCGGTGGATGACTGAATGTTTGGGTCTTTTTGGAACCCACCCCACGACAGAGCTGAAGTTTCCTCAGAAAATGGGTCCATGTTGCAAGTCTACTTGGTACCCTTCGTACCATCAAGTACCAAGTACTAGTACCATCCATGTTTTCCTGGGGTCATTGGCCGAATTTCTACATTACAGGCTCAGTCTGGTCCAAAGAGATGCAACCAATGCAAACCCTACAGGCTCAGTACGCAGTGATGTGATGCAATTTCTCCGAAGTCGGCGAACGAACCACAAAACTCCTCAGTGTTCAGTTGCAAGAACGAAGACACGGCTCCGTTTTTCCTAACTAACATGAAGTCCGGGCTGGGCACCCTGCGGTGGTCCGGCGGAATTCCACCAAAATCGGGAGACTCAGAGGTGGAGATCGGATCTTTCTTTGTTCTGCGCAGGAGCTTTCCTCTGGTGCGGGAACCCGAGCCGGTGCCGGTTCCAAGGCCCGAAAAAACGGGTGGCTTTCCACTGTCTTCGGCCGAGGTGAATACTGGTGAGGTGTTATGTTAACAGATTTACTCGGCCTGTAGACCTGGACCAGCCGACTCCTCCAAGAAGTGCTATATAGTAGGTTTCAAAGCGTAGGAAAAAATGCGATGCTTGACTAGACATATGATATTTGGAAAGACACAACATATATGCAGTGATGGGCGTCCCCAGGGAGATAGACTTGGAAAAAACATACACTGGATACACTGGACACTGGGATAAATATATATATATATAATCTTCTCAGGTTTCTGCTGAGGATTGGGCTTCAAAAAAGGACCTGTTCAAGCTTTCAGTGTTTGTTTTCGGTGTCCAATATACAAATGACCAGTCCGATCCAGTCTCCGCCAGTCCGCATTTTCTTTGAAGACTTGTTCGTCCGTGTTTTGCTAGAGTGACAGCACGTCCGTGTTCGTCCGTGACCCGTTCCTCACACGAACTGGAGAGTGTGCTCTGTAGGGTTTGTAATCAATTCTGCCCCCTGGAGTTGTGTCCTGTTGCACCAAGTGCAAAGTCCCCAAACAACCCAAAAATGACACGTAACATCTGTTTGGAGTGACAGTGTTTTTGACCTATGGCTGTATGCATACAAAGGTTGCTCCAACTAGGATCTATTTTATAGTGTTTGACAATGGTCTCGCACAAGCAAGGATCGTTCGTGGCACTGGAGAATTCCTTGTGATGACATATAAATGTCACATTAAATGCTGCCGTAGAATCCCGGACATGTCATTGCCCCAAGATGGTTTGGACAATTGCCAAGTCCAAACTACTGTAAGATCAACCTCCTTTGTTGTCAAGACTCCCAAACTCCCAAGCTAGTCTCAAGATCACATGGTAGAACATCCCTTAAACTTCTAACTGGATGCTTCAGTTCCCCGTAGGTCGTCGTAGTTTCGCCCGTTGATCGTCGCAGCTCCCGGCAGCTCCGATCGAGACCGACGAGGTCACCGTGTTAATGCCCGAAGTGCGCTTTCCCGACGAGGGCTGCAGAGGCCACCGGGGGCGTGGGGGCCGAAGAGATCGGTCAGTCGGCCATTCGAAGCGTCCAGAAACCCGTGGTTTCTGGATGATGAGTTGCTGCCACATGTCAGGGATGATATTATGGTTTATCCACCAAATACATCAGTGTGTGTCTAAATGCAGGAAACTTTGGGGTTCGTCTTCCATTGATGTTTCTATGCTGCAAGGTTTTCTTGATGGGTAAAGGACTTCTGGACACAAAGCAAGGAGTCGGTGAATCCTGGGCCTGTGCATTTTTCTCCAGACCCTTTGAGACCGACAGACTCGACTCGACTGTTCCGCCAGGAAGAGGCGGGTTGCTTTATGGCGGGTACGCACCGATCGCCCGAAGGTACGCACCGTTTCATGAACTTCACCCATTTTTCTACTACCAGCATCCAAAAAAAGGTCTTCTTTAGAGAGCGGTTAGGCCTTAACAGGTCTCAATTGGTGACCTGTTGGAAGGTGCTGGCATATAGTTTTATGCAATTTATATGGTTTCTGGGTGCGGTTGGTGATGAATCAGAAGAAAGGATTTTCGTGACATTGGAGGCTTGCAGTGACTCACCTGCATGCATCCGTGGAAGTTGGAAGACCCTTTTCCAGCTGGTGGACCACTTCATGGTGGCCACCACCCTGGGAGTCTGTTTGACTTCCCCAGGTCATTTTGTTTACCTTTTCTGGCAGAATTCTCCCACAAGCTTCCCTCACCTCTCAAACGGGCGTGGACCTCCAACTCCCATGTTGGGGCCGGGTCTGCTGGAGACGGCGCAGCGGCGCAGCGCGCGTCCCGGCGCCACGGACTGCCACAGGCGGAAGCAGCAACTGTGGCCTTCCGAAGCTCCCAGAGAATATCTCCAGGACGACCGCCGGCGGTCGCGCATCGCGGATGGTCCAGACGGATGAGACTTCTGCTTCATGATCGGACCATGGTCAAACAGGATGAACAATTAAGTCTGGTTCTCTTTGCCCCGCCATGGCCATGGATGTGGGCAAAGACTCTGGCTTCTTTTGAAGTTGCGGTATCCTGTATTGTTGAACAGTTCTTTTTTGCCTAAGAAGGCCTACCGGCCGCAACTTTCTTCGAGACATACCGGCCGCCAGGCCTCTAAGCTGCCCGGCCTCTAAGGCAGGTCTTACACCATGCTTCTTTATCTTAGACTCAACAAATTCCAACTGATGGTGACTGAAGACCTTCAACACTGCTTGGATACCCAGCGGCTTGGGGCTTGGGGTTGACGTCTCTGTTTGTTTCTACTTCCACGGTGAAAGATCTATGACTGGCCAGCACATGTTAACATACTTTTAACACACCCATAGGTCATGGTTTTGAGGACCAGGTATGTCGAACGCGTCCCAGGTATGTCGTTCCCCCCAAATTCCGTCCGACGGAATCGTTGGTTCCGAGCCTCGGCTGCCGAAGCCGCCACCGGTGGTGAAAGTGGCTCCAGAGGCTCCGTTCCTCGGCGTGCCGGGGCGACGGCGAAAGTGCCAGGAGTCACATTGGAGTTGGGTGGTTTGGCTCGTCCCATCCAGGGGCCGTGGATGTTCTGGGCACCCATAAACCTCCATGGATAGCACCCCGTCTCGTGACTGGTGGTGGTTGCTTCTTTTTCCGGCGATGGTTGTGCTGTGCCAGGAGTTTAAGGCGCCACTACCAGGACTGAGATGGGGCGGGTGGGAAGCTTCAGAGCGCCCACGGACTCAGGGACCCTCCCTTTTTTCTGGTTCCTTTGTTGATTGATGGAAACACAGAAAGCGATCTCCCCCAAACCAGATGGTGAAGAGTGGGTCAACATCAGTCAGTGAAGTCTGCTTGGTGTGAAATCTTCCTCGCAGCGGTCCAGATCGTGGATTAGGATGTGTGCATCATTTAAGGAGTAAATCTAAAATACAGATGTGGTAAATTCGGCTGTTTTGCTTAGGAAACTGAATCCACCATTCGATGAAAGTTACTCAAACAGCTGCTGACTCAAAGAAAACAGCTGCTTCCACAGGAGTTTGTGTTGGTGGTCCTGGTTCGGTGCCCAAACCACTTATCACTTATCACCCGTCAGCGCTTGCAGCGAGCAGCGAAGGTTCTGCACTGTAACTGGAGGAAGATCTCCTAGCTGGCTGAAGATCTCAGTCAAACACGAGTCAAATGTTCGATTGTCAAGTGGGCCTCCTAGCTGGCATGGAGGAGCTGTTTTCTTTTTTGGCTGCCTCAAAAGCACCCATGTCCTTGAAGAATTCGCTTTGCATCGCTTTTCCACCGGCCTTTCCCACCCCAAATCGGCCATCCATATGACTTCATTTTGCTGTCCGCCTGCGCTGCAAGCAGCAGGACCATGGGAAGGCTTGGAGATCCTACTGGTGGAATCTCGCCTGGGCCTCGGACGGTTTCAGGGGAATCCCATGGAAAACTCACGACTTGGGGGGTCCTTCATCCACTTCATCCACCTCTGAAATCAGCGGCGCTATGCTATGCGCCGCCCAAGTGCTGCGCACGATGCCGTAGATTGACCAAACACGACCAAACTCAATACGATATAGGTCAAGGAGATGTTTGGGCGGGGGATGAAGGAACCCCTATTTTTCTGGGATTTTTTTTCAATTTTTTTCTGGTATTTTTTTTCATATTTTTTCCCCTACTACTTTTGCATTTGGCTTTGTTTGCTTTTGCTTTTTGCTTCTGCTTTTGCTCTTGCCCTTTGCTGTTGCTTTTTGCTTTTGCTTCTGCATCTGCTTTTGCATTTGCTTTTGCTTCTGCTTTTGCTTTTTGCTTCTGCTTTTGCTTCTGCTTTTTGCTTTTTGCATTTGCTTTTGCTTCTGCTTTTTGATTTTCCTTTTGCGGTTGCTTTGTTTTTTTGCTTTTCCTTCTGCAGTTGCTTTTTGCTTCTGCTTTTGCTTTTTGCTTCTACTTGTGCTTCTGTTTTATGGCGTTCTGCTTTTGCCTTTGCTTCTGTTTTTTTTGGCCAGGGTCTAACGAGCCTGTGTTGCCGCAAGGGGGCAGCTTTCAACACTGCGCTGGTTGCAGTAAAGACCCTGTGCTGCTGCAAGTGGCCAGCTTCC